CTGGGCCAAAACCGTGGGCATTATGGTTAATTAGCACTATAGAACCTATTATATGAACAGTGTCCTGGATTCTGAACTTTAAAATTTTGAGCAAATTACCCCCAACATTTATATAACAGAATGTTGACTATTATATAGACCAATTAGTCTTGGTGTGGCTCGCCGTAATGAACGAATCATTAGCCATGGTGAATGATCCATAATTTTGTGAAATGATATTTTTTGCCTCTTGTTTTTATAATGTTTTTCAAATGATTGGTATCTCATGGCTTTCATATGACGGTCAATAACTCTAATTTATTTTTATTTTTAATAGGTTTATTTATTGGTTAAAACGTGGGATCCCATTAAAAAAAAGGTTTAAATATTAGATGATTTTAATTAACTAGTTATTTTGGATTTTAATTGTTGTTGATGAAAATGTTGGACTTCACATCTATCGTTTGTAAACTTTTCCTAATACTTAACTTCTTTTAAATAAGATCTCAAGTTTTAACATTAAATAAATAAAGATTAAGTAAATAAGACTAAATTAGAATTTTAAAATATATAGAAGTATGAAATACTAATCGTTTGGAAAAACATTATAAAAAGGGACAAAAATATCATTTCACAAAATCATGAGTCGTTCGCCATGGCTAACGATGCATTCACCGTAGCGGGCCATGCTAAGGCTAATTTGGTCTATATAATAGTCAACATTCTATACATAAATGTTAAGAATAATTGGCTTAAAATTTTAAAGTTTAGGGTCCAAAACGCTACTCATGTAATAGTTTAGAGTTTATAGAGCTAATTAACAATGAACAATAATGGCGTTATAAAAAATTAATGGTTAGGATTTCTTTTGTTATGAATTTAAAAGTTTAGGATTCATTTTGCATATTTTAAGAGTTTAAGGTCTAGGATGCTTTTTGCGCAATACTTCAGGGTTTCATTTTGCTCATTAATCCTATAATATAAGACAAGGTTAAAATAAGTAATTTATTACTTGTTAGTTTATTAGCATTTGAATTTCTAGATAGCAATTTATTATATTTAATTAATTATAAGGAAGGATAAAATTAAAAAATTATATATTTTTTAACCATTTTAAAGATATAACTACTATTTCTCAGTAAACATGAAATTGGATAACTTTATCTTATAAATTAAATAAATATCACATAAAGAATTGTTAAGAAATAAAACATAAAAATAATTCTGGTCAATCTAGAGAGCCAGCATTTATTTTGTTTGTTTTCTTTATCTTTGTTCAATTCTAATATTTTTAAGATTAGATTTCATATGAATACTTGAAAATTAAAATAGCTTATAAATCTTATCTAAGATTGACAATCTAATTTCAATGGATTGTCAAAGACTTTGTCATATAATATTTAGAAAGTATTAAAATCTCAAATTTTTGGGGAGCAATATAACTAAAGAGTGCTCTGGTCGTAAGGAATATTTTCAATATTTGAAGAGAATATATGATAATAATAATTTTTAAATATCAATAAAATTCAAAAACTATTATTGAATTAGACTGCTCCCTAAATCCAAATTGTTTCTTTTGTATTCCCTTGCTTTCTCATCTTCTTTAACATCTTTATTGTTCTCTATACTTTCCTTTGTGTTCTTTGCATTTTCTCACTTCCTTTTTCCTTTTGCATCTGTCGCTAGCACTTCTCCTTCAAATTGATGTTCTTATTTGTTGATCTCTCCTCATCATCTTTCTGCTAAAAACCTTCAGATCTTTTTTTTGTTACCTTTGATTTCCTGTGAAGCATCTGCTTCTTCAAGTTGTTCGAGTCACCATAAAAAGGTGGTCTCTAATGCTTGATTTGTGTTGGAACACTAAGGAATGCTGATGTTACTGAATATCTTTGAATTGTGTATTTCACAACAACCTCCATCATCTAATTTTGTGCATGCATAATTATTCTTCTGAATTTCATCTAGCAATCAAGGAATCTTTGAGTTCATCAATGTGTTAGTCAGGATCGAGTCCCACATTAAAAAGTCTTATGAGTGGTGTGGAGTTTATAAGTTTGAGGAACTCTTCCACCCAACAGGCTAATCTTTTAGGATGGGTTCTTCTTTTGAACATGTGCTCGTTACATTAGTGTTTTCATTGAGAAGTTGGTGTCATGGAAAGGACTACCTACAAAGGGTTTTGATCTGTAAGAGCCGAGTGAAGTATCTTAGAGTGTGAAGCCGCTAGGGACGTCAGTTTTTAATGAGGTGGCATTATCATGAGTCCCACATTGAAGAGCTTTACAAGTAGTGTGAAATTTATAAGTTCAAGGGGCTTTTCCATCTAATAGGCTAGTTTTTTGAGATGGGTTTTCTTTTGTACTTGTACTCGTTACATTGCACCAATGTCACGACCACAAAACCTCTAGGTTGAACTCACCCCCACAAGGAGCCTCGTAGGAGGAGGGTGCTTAATTGACTTATAAACCATACTTTACCAATATGGCCTCCTGATGTAGGATTCATAACATAGCCCACTCTTTAAGAGCCAGTGTTCGTGACAACTCATGCTCCATGGCACTTTATTCAACCTTTGGTTAGTCAGCCCCTCCGTGGATAGCCTTTTTCACGAATGGCAACTTCCAACGAGAGCACCAATGTTATGACCACAAGCCATCTGGGTAAAACTCATCTCTAAAAGGCACCTCATAGGGGGAGAGTGTCCGACTAATTTATAAACTACACTCCACCAATATGACCTCCTGATGTAGGACTCATAATATAGCCCACCCCTCAAGAGTCGGCGTTTGCTACGGCTCACATTCCATGGCTCTTCACTTGACCTTTGGCCAATCAACCCCTTCATGGAAGGCCCTTTTCATGAATAGTGGCTCTCAATGAGAGCACCAATGTCACAACAACAAGTCCTTCGGGTAGAACTCACTCTAAAAGGGGTCTCATAGGAGGAGGGTGCCCAATTAACTTATAAACCACACTCCACTAATGTGGCTTCCAAATATGGGACTCATAACATAGTCCACCCCTCAAGAGTCGGCATCCATGATAGCTCACATTTTATGGTGCTTCACTCAGCCTTTTGTTGGCTAGCCCTTCCGTGAGAGGCCCTTTTTGCGAACAACGGCTCTTAACGAGAGTACCAATGTTACGACCACAAGCCTTACTCCTAAAAGGCACCTCTTAAGGGGAGAGTGCCCAGTTGACTTATAAATCATATTCCACTAATATAGCCTTTTGATATGGGACTCATAATACAAAGCTTTTTGGAATCAAAGTTTTCTTCTGGAGGACACTAATTTGTGATTGGGGTGATGATTCATCTAGTTAAGAAATCTTAATACACAGTCGGCCTGTCAAGATCTCCTCTATTTCATCTGACTTGATAATTGCCATGAAGAAAATTAAAAGGAGTAGTTCCATCATTTGTCATATTTTTTCTTTGTCCAGAATCGATTCTTGAATGGATTTGGCTTCAAGAAAACTAGCAATGATATCAATACGTGCTATTTACTTTGTTTCCGTTACGCACTTTGGTGGGTTACTAATACTTAGTATATCTTGTCTCTGACTGGTTCAAGTCTGTGTCAAATTTCTTTCACAAGGCTTTTTCCAGCAAGCTTGAGCGTAATCTTTTGGTGCAAATATCCCATCTCTGCTAGCCCGTTTCAATCCTGCAAGCTTCCATGTTTCTAACGATGATTAATTATTTATTTTCTATTTTCAACTTTTCTCCATGGTTCAACCTTAATATTATATCTTTGTAATCTTTTATGCTGTTACTTTTACCTTATTCATATATAAATCCTTGACTTATCTTAAAAACCCAAAAAAAAAAAAAAAAGGCTAAGGGAAGCTGATTAATTACTGGTGGTAGATTGGAGGTTTTTATATATACCTTGAAATTGCAAAGATTCATAATATTCATATCTATCACTGTAAGTTGAAAATATGAATTTATATCTTGTATAGTTAGTCAGCATTTAATTGATCTATTTACTAAATTCAATTTTAGCACACATTTGATTACAATTAACACAAGAGAAATACTACAGATTGAACATCAACAAGACACTGGCCAAAAAAAAAAAAAAAACTTCAAGAAGACAACAATAATAGGTAACGTTTATAAAAGAAAATGCTATTGGTTGATGGAATATGACCAATTAGATAGCATTTCAATGAGTTTGGTGTTCAAAATGATTTGGTTTATATTTGCCATCTATGTATATATATATTGCCATCAAATCCTAAAAATGTTGGATCTGTCATTGAAGGAAGTATTTAGTTTCTCAAATCCCATATCTCTTCGTCTATACTCTTCTATCAATGGTTACAGAGAGAAGAGATGAAAACATCAAAAGGGAAAAATCACATTGATTCAGAGAGTGTATACATGTCAGAGTAATTTTTATGACTAGTTGACCAGCCTTACAGAGAAGGACACGTGGATAATATTTCTAACAACTTGAACAATAATGATGAATTAATATAACAGCATAACAGAACAACTAATCACTATACTATACAAGTATACACTTGTATCTTCGAATCTTCGTGACTAATTGCATAGCGCTGGCTAATGATTTGGCAAATATTTGCCAAGTAATATTTTATATAATCATTCACTATTTAGTTACTTGAACAAGTAACTGCAAAGTTAAAAAAAGAACAGAACATCACACATAGCATTATACTTCACCTTAAGAATGTTGAACTTCACTAATGAAAACATGCCACCTCACATCAGAATAATTTATAAAATGTTTATGTATTCAGATTGCTTATATAGGTTAAAAGTGACAAGAATGGAGAAGTAAATTTACCTTTTATAGGTCTCAAGAAAAAAAAAATAAAGAAGCCAAATAATGATCTAAATTGTTTTTTTTTTTTTGGGGGAATATATAACAGGCTATTGAGTGATGGATGGGCCAGGATCATGTAACAGACATACATGACATGATAATGTTCCCTTTATGTAACACTAAGGGCCTATTTCATTGGTGAGTGCCTTCCACCGACAAAGGTAAGCTTTGGTGTTTCACCTTTCTTTTTCAACCTCTCTTGCCTACGGTTTTTCGTTCTACCAACTTTACCTTTCTGTTCTCTATCCCTCTGTTTCTCTGAACGAGTGAATTTCAACTCTGACCCCTGAAATTATCAAGTTCCTTGCGCGTTCATTGTGGATCGTAGAGAAGAGTAGAAGCTTAGCACATAATCAAACATTTTGAAGAGATTGCAAGAAGAGGGTGGCATAGGTGAGGAAGACATGGGTGATGCAACGCTGTGACCATTATTTCAGTCTGCAGAAACAACCCAAGTGGGATCTGAGTTTCGTGTTCTAAAACAAGCTTGGTAGGCTTATTTCCTGATCTCTTTGTCCTCTGTTTTATCATTTTATTCCTACTATACATGTTTACCAGCAGGTCTTTTTTTATTATTTTTCTATTTGGGGACTTTTGTTTAGATATATCATATTCTTCCTCGTCATCTTGTATCCTGTGTTGGATATTATAAAATGTTTATGGATATTTTAAAACGAATTATTATAAAGTAATAATATTAATTATTATTTAAGATTATTGATTATTTTGAACATATAATTTAAAAAATATTATTACCTGAAATTGTTTTTCAATTGTGATTAAGGTGTTTTTTATTGTTTAATGTTATGTGATTTCTGCCTAATAAAAGGTTTGCTTCCCATAGGTTTTGAACTTTTGGCCTCTTCTGTCATATTGCATCATTTGTGCTGTTGCCTGAGTTTATTTTATAAATTTTTTTCTTCTGTGATCCTGTTCATTTTATAAGAAGAGTTTGTTTAATTTTACGGAACTAGTTGCCATGAGATCAATCCAATGTAGAGGAATAGCTTTTAAAAATAATATCCTAAGGCACTATTTAAATTATAATTTTACCTGCTATTACCAATACCCTGTTGTTTAAATTTTATATTTCAACCATTTATGAAAACACTCAAGATTCAATTCAATATAGTTTGATACTCTAATTTTGTGTATGTGTCGCTAAAATCAGCATCTTGTTTCTCTTTTAGTTACACATATATGCTCTAGTAGACTTTTGTTTATTGATTATTATTATTATTATTATTATTATTATTATTATTATTTGGGGATACTGTTGTTTAGATATATTCCTGCTCTTCATGTTGTTCCATTTATAATTTTGAAGACCATATATTTGATCTTTCATAATGTTTTCAATATGCAGCTAATCCAGCTGCTGCAATTTACATCGTGCATTTTATATTCCTCGGTTTGTTTGAATTCTTTGAAGCCTCCATGGAAGTTGTTCCCAGTGTGTTAAACATCATAGGCTCGTGTTGCTCATTGCATGAAGTCGTTAGAACAAAGCATAAACACTTGAGAACACTCAAAAGGAGTATTCGGCAGATGAATAATTTGATGCAAAGGCTGGATGCTCATGAAAGGGATGTTGAACATGAAATAAACCAATTGCGGGCGGAATCAACAAATGTGTGTAGTACATGGCGTGAGCAAGTTGGTCAGGTAAGAAGTGAAGTGCGCAATCTCATGGATGAAAATGGCCGGCTTAGACAAACTAAATGGTTCAGTTTTATTTGTTCAAGAATCAAGTTAGGGGAACTTGTTGAGGAGAAGATCCGAGATATTCGTGAACTTATAGAGACTGTTCCAGATTTAAAGGATGTTGCTATTCCTGTAGGCAAAAGAGGTGATATTTTGTCTGCAACGCCAATGATGGGATGCGAAACACACAAGCAAATATTTATGAAGATCCGGGGATTCTTGTCTGATGAGAATGTTAGAAGGATTGGTATTTGTGGTTTGGGAGGAGCCGGTAAAACAACTATTATGTCAGAAATTAACAATCACCTGTTGAATAATAGCAATGAGTTTAACTGCATTATTTGGGCGGAAGCATCAAAGGATCTAGAGAAGTTGCAACAAGATATAGCTGTGAAGTTGGATTTGACTTTTCAAGAAGCTGATGATGAAATAACAAGAGCCTCAAAATTGTTAGAAGCTTTTAATAGGAGGAAGAAATTTACACTGATTTTAGATGATGTTTGGGAACCATTCACTATTGAAAGTGTTGGAATCCCTGTGCCAACAGTAGAGAATGGTTGTAAATTGGTGATTATAACTCGAGACGTTAGAGTGTGCAGAGGTATGGAAACAGACAAAGATGTGGAAGTGGAAGTTCTTTCAGAAGAAGAAGCATGGGATCTCTTCAAGGACAAAGTTGGGGAACAAGTGCTATCAAATGCAAATATACAATCAATTGCCAGGGAGGTGGCAAAAGAATGTGGTGGTTTGCCTCTAGCTATTGTTGCAGTTGGACGTGCATTGAGAAACACAACTAACATAAGAGAGTGGGAGAATGCATTGGCAGAGTTAAGAACTTCAAGTACTGGCATACACACTATTGATGAAGTGGTGTGTTCTCGTTTGAAGTTGAGCTATTCAAAACTAAAGGATGATGCAAGGCGATCGTGCTTTCTATATTGTTCCTTATACCCAAGAGGTCACCTAATTGATGAGAATGAATTGATTAATTATTGGGTATGGGAAGATTTATTGGAAGGTCCAAACACGTCTGTGATGAAACGAAAGGGGCAAATGATTATAGATGAACTAATATCAGGATGCTTGCTGGAATCGAAGACTGAAAATGGGGTGAGATTTGTTAAATTGCATCATGTGGTAAGAGACATGGCAATCACAATCATGAGTACAAAGCCTAGATGCGTTGTGAATGCTGGCAAGGAACAAGTAAAACCAGCAATACCTCAAGAATGGAGAGAGGATGTGCAATGGGTATCGTTGATGAGAAATGATGTGAAATCTATAGACTTCAGTCCAACGTGTCCTAGACTCACTTCTTTGCTACTTCAATACAACTCATTTGAAGAAAACATATCGCACCACTTCTTTGACAACATGCATGGGCTAAAAGTTCTTAATCTCTCCTATACTGGGATTCATGTTTTGCCGGCGTCTCTTTCGAATTTGGAGAATCTACATGCCTTGTTGTTGAGCCACTGTTGGAATCTTGTTGAAGTTCCATCCTTAGAAAGGCTCACTAAATTGAAGTATTTAGATTTTTCATTTTCTAGAAAGTTAATAGAACTTCCACCGGGGATGGAACAATTGACTGATTTGAGACACTTGGATTTCTCCTTCACATCTGTCCAAAACTTACAAGCTGGACTCATATCCAAATTTACTCTTCTGGAGGGCTTGTTGATGTTGGGTACGCATATGATTGGAGTATCATCTGAGAGCGAAGTACGCCCTTTGTTTGCAGTGTCAGTGGAAGAAATCATATCCTGTCGTAATCTGTCTCTTCTACACATGCAATTCCTTGACTTTGAAGATTATCGAAAATTTGCTGAATTTTTGAATTATTCTCAATTAAAGGAGTCGAAGCTTGTTGTCGGGTTTTCAGTTGTTCCAAAATTATCTGAGAAAAATTGTTTGGCAATAAGTAGGAGAGGCAAAGGAAGAGATGTTTCAGAAGCCCAGACTACTGCATTGATTCCACGAAATGTAGAGGAGTTAATAATTTCTAAGTTTGATGGTATGGAACGCGTTCTTGAATCCGAGGAGAATAATTTGCCCCAGCGACAGCCAATGAATCTACTACATCATATTCCAAGGTTGAGGAGCATGTTGAGATCAGGTACTCTGATGAACCTCAAGAGAATTGAGGTGTCAGTCTGTTGTTCGTTGAAATGTCTGTTCCCGAGGCAGCTCGTGGACGAGCTTAAAAGTCTGGAAGAAATTGTCATCGAATGGTGCTTCGCGATGGAAGAAATTATTGAAGGAGAGAGGAATGCAAGCGCTGAAAACAGCAGCCATGCTGCCAAAGTGATCCTTCCGAAATTGCAAAGGTTGAAATTGAAGGAGTTGCCAAGACTGAAAAGCATATACAAAGGGGACATTGAATGCAATTCTCTACGCACTATTGAAGTTGTGGGCTGCATTGCTCTGATGAAGTTGCCTCTGGGTTTGTTTGGAGTAGAGGCTGGTCAGCAAATCTCACCATCAACCACTCTCCAAGAAATAATATGTGAAAACGAATGGTGGCAATCACTGCAGTGGGACCAACCTGAAGCTGAGAATCTCCTTCGACCACGCTTAGTCGGTTACTATGACAGGTATGTTTTATTAGATTTTCCAATTACCATAGTACGTCCGTATAGATATATTAAAAGGAAGATTTTAGTGTTTTAGCCTTATATATTTCCATTCAATTAAATTTAAAAATGAGGATTTTAAAAGTATTACAAATATTAATAATTAAAGAATTTGTTATTGAATAAATAATATATAAAAATTCACATGTCTTGGTTTTATTACAAACAATAAGCATATTAAATATACAATGATTTCTTAATTTTAATTTTTTTACCCACTACATATAATTTGATTATTACATTATTCAATTTCTTATAGTGGTCTGGCGTGGAGGCATGCATCCATGGACAGGTTTGCTCCGAGCAGCAGTAATACAGTGTGAAGGCAGTATTCGAGTGGAACTAGCCACGATATCTTGATTTGATTCCACACGTGTGTTGTTAATTTACTGTTAATGTTTTTTTTTTAATAAAGTTTGATGATTGGTAGGAAAACATTTGGGTGCACTCGTTACTTTTGTTTGATCTGAATGATTTTAAAGCTATTTTCAAATGTATTTTCATGACTTGTATTGTTCCACATATGCTTTTATGAATTATTTTTGGCTTCTGTGTGTGTGGTAAGTACGATGTCTGTGATAATTTATCATTTAGTTACCGAAAATTAGTAATTGCATGGCCAGAACAGAGCATCACAAGGTATTCAAAGCACATTGACCTGTCTATTGATGATAGCCTATGAATGGTTTGGACGTCAATATATTAATATACGCTTTCCCGCTTAGAATTTTTCAATTTTTCTTCTCAGAACCATATTAAATATTGAGGTGAAACAACGTTTGAGCTCACCAAATCTTGCCTGCATTGTACACAGAACACACAATTATAGCATAGGCAACATAATTTAATTAGATATTGTCTTAGATTTAATTAATTAATTCATATTTTTCTTCCATTATTTTTATGATGCGCTTGACTTGATCCATAGTGTGAAGTAGATATTTCATCAAGTTTTAGAATCAAATATGAGAGAGCAATACTTTACTCAATCACTTTATTACTTAATAGAGGCAAACATATATAATTAACATATACCTCATACATATGAGTCAAAAAAAAAATTATGAGGAGAATTTAATGATTTTCCTTGCATTTTCGAAGTTGGATGTCACATAGTCATTCATCACTTAGATTATTTAAATCAGAAATTGCATAGTGAAAAAAGAGCATCATAAAGCATCTACTTGAAGTCTTGAACTGACTTTCATTTTTTGTTCTTTTTTTAATAACATATTCGGATATTCAAAGAACTTCCACTATGGCCTATGAATGCTGTGGACCGTAATGCGTCCCTTGCTTATCATTTTTCTTTCCTTTCTTTATTTTGAAAAAAGAAATGTTAAAAAAGTTATACTATTCATAACCACTAAATCATACTCGTTCCATTTTTTTTATAAGATATTTTTTTTAAGATCATTTACCCGTGACAGAACATAACAGCACAAAGCAACATGAAAAGCTACTTTTAATTCTTTGACCAATGTCAAGTCATAACACCTTTGTCATATTCTCATGTGCACTATTTTTAGCTACCTAGTTATCTCATATTCTTTTACTCTTCCATTGTATTCATTTCCTGTATATAGGAGTAACAGTGTATAGACAAAGACAAGGCATCAATAAACAAATATTGTTTTATTGTTTGCTTGCGCTTTCATTACCAATTGAATGTCACATTTAAAATTTAAAAAAAAAAAAAGGATGCGGAGCCCAAAATGAAATTGATGTATGTGTAACCTCATCAACAATCAATTAATAGCTTAAATTATTTCGTGCAAAATTAAGCACCCATTTATATATTTAAATCATACTAGACTATTTGTTTGTCTAGCTTTGCCTAGTATGAGATAGCATAATAATAATTGCTACAGAAGACTAAAGTAGATACCCTTGTATACTTAATTCTTAATATATGTCCAATCAAAATCAAAACATTTGAGTTTTAAAGTATTAAAAATATTATAATAAAAGTGTTATAGAGTAAATAATATACAACATATTTATATGTCTTAATTTAATTAGAAATAAATATATTAAATATATAAAATTAAATATATAAGTTTTTTCATATTAACATGGGATGGAGGATATCAAAGAAAGTTGGCTCCACCATTACTACTTTATTCAAAAGATAAAGCAACATTTATGTACTTAACTTTATTTATTAATATATTTTTATTCAATTAATTAAGATATGTAAATTTAAATGAATTAATAATATTACTAATAATAATTTGTTATAAAAAAAATAATCTATAAAAAAATACACATGATTTAATTTAATTGAAAATAAACACCTTAAATATATATGGTTAAATATATAATTTTTTTTACTTTGATCACTATGACAATTTTAATTTTACAACCATAGAGAGTGTGTGTATCAATTATAAAAAAATAAATAAAGGAGAGCTGGTCAATTCTTGCGATTGGCCCTTTATTATTAGAGTGGTTTAATTTTATTTATAGTAAAATAAATAATTAATTTCCAAGAATTAACGCCAACGTATGTTGAATTTGACTGTTTAAATTGCTAGGTGCCTTCCTTTTTCATTTTCAAGGAACAATACAATGACTAAATTTAGGGTCTGAGGTAGAATGCACAATTTGAAATGAGTCCCAGTCATAGTGTCACACTCACTAATAAAATTACTTCCCATTCCATGTGAACATTAGACTCGTTTAATTAGCACGAATGTTAATTTCAACGTACGGTTGAGTATTCATGAATTTTTTGTTAATAAACAATATTCATGAAATTAACTGCATGTGGGTCTACAGGAAATCTTTGCCAAATGCTCCAAATCAATTTAATATGCAAGAATAAGAAAAAAAAAAAACAAATGTGGTCGTGACAAACCTTTGTCACCATGTAAAAAGTGAGAGGTAAAATATCATCTAAGAACTTTTGAAAATTTTTTATATCAAATAAGAATATTAAAAATCTGAAATTTCACTTCAATCCCTTAATACTTATATGAAAATAAGATTTTCTAATAAAAGATATAATTACCCATAAAGTTTAATAATTTAATGAGTTGTTGTTAATTACATGTGATTAATTGTTGAAACTTGAATGAATGATTGTTTATATGGGCCATTACAAACTTAAATTATTAAACACAAACGAGTTAACCTAAAATTAACAAATCTTAAGGATGCCATTTATATTAGATTCATTGGATGAAAGCAGGTCTAAACTCATTCGCTCATATCTCATATCCTCATGCCTTGCATGTCCTTTTATGTCTCTCAGTTCATTTGGAAGCCTCCATCACTTATCTTTCCAAATTGGGCCTCCATATACAGTTGTAAACTCAATCTCTTTGATGCATAAACAAGTAATGACAATTCTTGATTCTGCATCTCAGGCCTCATCCTTAGCTTGCAGATGTAAAATGATTCCTTGATCTACATGAAGTGATAAGTGATAATCGATGTTAATTTTTACGGGGTGGATCAAGGTGTTGTGTATGATAATAAAAACAACTTGTTATCCTTAAAAAAATTTTACCTCATGCATATTAAAAATATAAAACAATAATTTTGTTTTATTTTAATACAAATTATTTTAAAATATGCTATCTCAATCATACCACAAAATTTTTAATTTTTTTTTTAAATTAACAGCTCAACTAGTACATCCAAGATATATAAGTGAGCATATTTTTCATATTAGGTGAGTTGTAAATTAAAATAGTGTGATAAATTATAAGTTTTCCTCTAAAATGTATATAAGTCTTTTAATTGTTGATGATAAAGCTAACGTTATACCATTTTTAATTGTTAAAGGAAGAAATTGATTATACGACAATTGTTGTACGTTCATTATCAGATCATCATTGTTGACATTTTAATATTTAATAATTTTTACTGATGTTATTGCCTGCTAGCAAAAATAATTTGATAATCACTGAGTGAGTAAGTTGTTAGAGTGGTTAATCAAAATTGTATTGTTTGTTTTTTATATGAGTAAAAAATAATATTAATATCTTGAAATTTATTTATCCCTTAATTGATATTGTTTTTTTATAGGATCCTTTAATGTAATTTTGAAGTTCTTTTTGTAATTTTCTAGGTCAATTAATGATCACATTTAACCTATTTAATAATAAGGGCAAAATTATACTTTTTAAATATTAAAAGAAAATATTGCCTCATAAAAAAGTTTAGAATGCCAAACATTTCAGTACGAATAATTTATGGGCAGGAATACCATTTAACCCTTAAAAATACATAATATGTACAAATAAAAACAATTTAATTTATTAGAATTTGTTTAGGGAAAAAAATAAAAATAGAAAGTGACAAAAAAGTAAAAAAAAAAAGAGTGACAATTAATTCCCAAAATATAAATTAATGCAGTTAGGTCCTTGACAAAAAATTTAAAACAAATAAATTATAATTATCGATTTAGATAATTCCGAACAAAAATCTTAAATACAATCCTAGTTACATTTAAAATTTAAAAATATTATCTGCAAGTAGAGAGGGGAGAAATATTAAATATCAGAGAGGGAGGAGGGGAGGGGGAGAGAGAGAGAGAGAGAGGAGAAATATGACAAACCAGGGGTCCACATACGAAAGCAGAAAACTAAAAAAGGGGACCCGCAACTCGCACAGCACTGGGATTGTAGAAATGTCGGTCATTTGAGGAGAGAGAGTTTTTTTTTTTCTTCTTCTTCTTTTTTCTTTTTTTTTACCAGCGAGGAGAAAAAGAGTTGAAACATTAAGAAATTTATAATATTATATTACTTATTTAAATATATATATATATATATATATATTTATACTTTAAAAATAAAATTTATATTATTTATTTAAAATTTTTGAACATTATAATTTATATTTTAAAAAAATAATATTATAATAACTAAAAAATAAAGGTTAGGTTTAAAGCAATGAATGATTTCAAGATAAGCTTTTAGACTTAAGCCACCATATCCATAAAGGCCATGTTGACTCTAAGAAACAAACCTACATCATCTTTACTCACAACTTATCATTCAAAGTATCATGAAATCTTTTGAAATTTAGCAAAATCTTTGACAATGCTTGAGAATTTGCTGTATTGAAACTTAGCAACTCTTGTATGAACCATGTGTAATACGTATATGTAACACTCAATCAAAATCAATATCACCATCCTCGTTCAACTCATAGAATTCATAGTCTTTAAAAATCCTTACACTTACGAAAAAATTCTGCAAATAATGTTAGCTAGCACCTTTGTCATCAACTGCAATGTCGACTTCATACTTGACAAAGTGAAAATTCCATGTTCAAACCTCTATATAATTCATGGATTTCTGCAAATAATGTTAGCTATTTTTTTGGAAGGCTAAAAAAAGCTTATTTCACTTCATCATCCGAAAGAGGATCCAGAAGGAAATTACTGTCATCTGAAGAAAGCTTGGGCAAGCATAGGTTCTCCAATTTTTGCAAAATAAAGGAAGGATGAATTGGGTGGTTAGTGGAAAAAAAAAGAATTAAAGTAGTGCCACCCCAAAGCTTGAATTTCTTCTTGATTAGAGGTGCAGGATCCATCGGGCTTCTTGATAGTACTAATGAAATTTTTTATTCTTCTTCGATTTACCAAAGAGTGGAAAAATGGGGTATTCCCT